GGCTCCCGTATTTTGAGATTCGAACTATATAATAATAGACTATCTTGACAAAGAAAACTTTATAAACTCTTTTGCTCTATAAAAAGCATCAATTTTTTGAATTATTAATGCATTAGAAGGAAATCATTTGAATTTTTAAAAAATAGGTCTCTCATGGCAAAGAAAAATGTGCACTTACATCAAATATGATGTTTCTAGTCATTAATACTGATCGGTAATAAACTCTTCAAAAAACTAGATAACAATTTTAATTCATAATTAGAATAGGTAAAGGTTTGTATAGTCCTAAGAATCTTAAAATCATTTGCGATACTATTTACATTAATAAACGAATTAGACACTAAACCCACATAAACAACAAAGTCGTTCCAAGCGATATACTAACAGGTCCTTCTAGGAAATAGAAAGACGTGGTAAATGACACAAACCCGATTAAAAAATGTATTTTTAAAATAACAATTATCTTATTATTATTTTAATTACTATTACGTGTAGAAGCCTAAGATAATTGCATCATATGTTAACTTTAAATGAACTCCAAGCTCATAAACTAATCGTAAAGAATATGTAGTTGAGTTTTTGCAAATGTAACCAAAATAATAAAATTGTTATTGAAACAAAACTGATAGTAGAATAACAAAATAAGGAAACTATTTGAAATAATCTCGATTTATTCTGGAACAGAAATAGCTAATCGCATTGATTAAGTTGAACAAACAACGAACACACACCTTACACATTTGTACTCATTGAGTTCACTTCGTATTTTGATTAATTCATTAACATAAATTCTTATCAATTTCTAGTTTAAAAGAATTTTATAAATACGAAAAAAAAAAAAAAAACACCCAGAACGAATTTAGTCCAAAAAAAGTGTTTAATTTCTTTGCTCGTATCAATTTCCTGACCATTGAACCAGAGATTGCAGCTCAAAACTATTTTAATCAGTCTCTGAGCAATTACCAGAAGGGGCGAATTTATTTACGCTGCTTTCGATTTTAATTGTCGTATTTGTAATCAGTTCTTATACGTTGGGGAAATACGGGTATGAACTCGGATGGTTTAGAGTTCTGAACTTTTATAGCAGTGCTCAATTTAATCTAATTTCTCGTTTATCACGTTTTGCTTGCGTTGTGCTTGCGTTCCGCTCGGTTACTTCAGTGGCGCAATTAAAAGATTTTATAAACACAACTTTTGCAAAACACGCTTATGGGTGTTACAGATACCAGTACGCTGAATATCGGATTAGCAATAATTTATGCAAGGCGATTATCGGTTATCGATTGCTTATCTTATCCATGTTATGTATTACTTTCAGACCAAAGCAACTTTCTGAACTCTTTCGTTCATAAATTTTTTGCTGTGCTTCAGTTCGAAAAATAATTTGTTCTTTTCAATTTTAATGCCTTAGTAATAATTGTGAATTAATTAAAATTAATAAGTAAACATTTATTAAATAGTTACTTAAATAAACAAAAGGTACAAACAATAAAAAATAAAAATAAATATTAACATAAATGTTTTGATATATAAAATACACTCCATCCACAATTAAAAAATTTTTTTTTGTAAATCCTTGCTTGGTGATTTACGAGGGCTGTTTGATAATTAAGTGATAAATAAATTGGTATGTCTACTTTGGTGGTTGAATAAAATGGTGACACTTCCTGAGTCTAATTCGTGTTTTCGTACCATTCTGCTGCAAGATTTACATAATTCTCCTATTGTTAGTCAAGGCAGCATATAAGATCCAGACTGTAACGAACATTTACAGGTAATGGTACCTGCAAAAGTTCGTTCATTCGCAAGCGTTCGCTTTGGTGTGGATGGACCTTAAGATTCGTTGAAATTAATTATCGCTAGAGAATTTCCACTTTCTGATTATTTTCGTCAATAGATCCAGCATTCCTGTTAATTAGCTATAAGGACGATTCACGTCTATAATTGCTAACTAAGAAAGTATTTAGGTATAATGTTTGTTTGATATTGCAACCCGGGTATGAGTCTTATATATTGCATGATTTTTCCAACTACAATCTGCTATTTGGATGTATTGAGTATTAATGTTTAACCACATCAACAATTTTGCACACCATATCTACAGGAGTTTCTTGCTTGGTAGATCATTCTCTCGCTAATTCATCGGCTATTTCGGATTTGTTAATGTTCCGATATCAGAGAACTGATATTATAGTAACATTAGGATAGTCGCTTAGGATAGTCAAGCTTTCTTTTCTTTGTTCACTAAATAAAAGGTTATTATAACTGAATTGAAGCCCTGAATTTGCAATTTGACTATCTGATAATATAACAATGTCATCCTTAAAATCGAGAAATATTTTTCTTACTTTAAAAATTATTTTTCGATGCAGTCGTCTTAGAGTTCTAAGCATTTGCTACAGCGTTACTTGTATTTCAATTGTTTTACGATTCTTCGAGATCTGTAAAGTATTCATTAATTACAATAACTATATTCAAATTCAATTAAAATTTCTTCCAAACAAACCTTTCTTCAATTTTCGAAATAGAGAGGAAATAAGGTAAAGGAATGGAGAGGAATGAAGTGCCTTCCCTTTTGATCTAAACGTAAAAATGATTATTTGTAATTAAATCTATAAACTGAAAATCCTTTATTTTTGATCTCCATGGATAATGGCTTACTAAGAATTTTCTAGTTTAGTTATTAGGGTGATTTAATAATCTAAATCTATAATTTTGATTATTATTTCAATTTTTCAATTATTTCCTTTATCATATCGATCCTTAACTCCTTGTGCATATTAATGTTTTCTACATACTATGAAACTCTACAACTACTTCTTAGTGTTTCTGGTTGTAATCTTTGGACTCTGCCTAAAATTAATTTAGAAACAGTACCCAAAAGTTGCAACGCATACATCCACCACGGTTTTATCATTATATTAAAGAGAAGCATTTTATTACCTAGACTAAGTTTGAATTTAGTACCAATTCAATTAAGATTAGAAATGTTCAGCTTTACTATTATTAATTTTTTATTTTTATTAACCGAATTTATAAAAGAACATCATCACCTTTTAGAGCAAGCTCTTCAAGAGAACTCTACTGTTCTGACAGCTTAATTTTTCTAAAACCTGTATTGATTTATTATACTTAAAACAATCTAAACAAGCTTTTGAGTATTGAAACATTATAAAAAAGAGATAAACAAAATAAATAAAAATATTAAAAATTTGCATTACAGTTATTATAACTGATTTATCAAACACCCCTTGTATACGATCTTATTAGCCACTACAATATTTTTATTCATGCTTTTGTTGAACATTTACTTAGTGCCTTACCATTTCTTATAATCAATTATTATTATTAAATAATAGGCTATGAATGCACCCAGACCTAAAAGATCTATTGTGCGCCTAAAGGCCTAAAACAAATGTAGACTATTTATAAATCTCGTTATTTCTGTGGGCTTAATTTTACCTATTTGATTTGGGACTAAGATCCCGCTTTCAAGGTAACGAGTCTACGTCTTGTCGCCGCTGGGTAGTTGCATAGAGTATATTCTGATGTTTCCATCTCCTCATGATAGAGTCGACAGGAGTCACTTTCTATCGAACCTATAATCTTTATGTGATAATTAAGTCTACAGTGTCCTCTAAGAAGTTCAGTGTAGATTTTAATATCGTTTCTGGTAAGGTTAAGTACTACAATATAGCGTCGACTTTGACGTGTTCAGGATCAGTGAATCTTCTTAAAGGCCGCATACCTCTTTGGGCTCTCCAGTGTTCAAAAAGATTTTATTTCTCCCGTTCACATAATAAATTATTTGTGAAGCTATTTGTTACGCCGCAGAAGAACTCTGGACCAATGAAAGGAGTACATGCACCCTTCTTTGCTAGTGAGTCTGCTATTTCATTACCCTCATGCCCTTCATGTCCCGATACCCACAAAAGAGCAACATAGTTCCTCGATGCTAGGGTATTGAGAAGTTGAAAGCATTCCCAGACCAAGTTTGATGTACTCAATTATACTCAATAAAGTACTCAATTTTCATTGGAGTGAAGAGTAGTACTTATTCGACGATTTTTACGACTGGTAACTTCTGAAAGTAAGTCAATTTGCTATTTATATGAACAACTTCAGTTTGAAAAACAAAAAACAAAATTTATAATTTGTTATTAAAATACATTAATTAAATAATAAACAAAATTATCAGAGCAAGAATGCTGATAAATTGCTGATATCATGTTTTAATATCATGATGTTTTAATATTAATGCTCACGTTTTTGGAAATGGAAATATAATCCTGTATCTAAATAAATAAAATCAACTCAACTCTCAAATTATTTTCGTTGTATCGATTTATTATATTGCATTTGTATTCTATATTATCCTACCGATATATCTTTTACCTTTGACAAAAACACAGGTACTTCATTTCAATAAGATTATTAGTACAATAAAACAACAATCGGCTGTGACTCAGTTTTCTTTACATAATTTGCTTTTGAAAATGTATCTGAAATAAGATATAAAAAGATACATTTTTTATTATTATTCTCACTATCACCTCACTATTCACACCATCTTTATTATATATTATTATTTATAAGTGTTATTAGCATTTAATTAAAAAAATCTGTCTGTTATGAAGTTAAATATATATTTATATACCTATATGTCAGTAATTAAATTTAATAAAAATAACTAGTTTTACGTGGTATATGATCACCTTTTTACTTCACCCAAAGGTGCTCATAAAACAATACAGGAGAGTATTACCTTATCTGTTCAATATCACGACATTAATCTAAACACATTTCGAAATAGAAAAGGTTTAAAGTACGCAACTGATACTATCGAAAATTATAATTAAACAATCGGAATGAAATTCCAAATATTGTTTGTATTTAAAATTACTGAACCATTAACTCTGGGTCCAGAATTACCAAATTTTATATTTCACTTCATAATTATGATTATTATTAATAATAATAAGTAAAATTTATTTTTACAGTTTATTTTCGCGAAACTTCACCATAAATTATTTACTTTATAAAAGCAAAAGAGAATGACGAATGTACAAAGCAAGTTTCTGACTCCAGTGCTATGCACCTGCCAAGAATTTCAACACCCATGGACCAAACATTGTGCAAATGCTTCAGCTGGTCTGCTACTAGCTTCAATACCATATTGCCTGCGCGTATATACAATGGTATATATGGTAAGTATGATAACATATGTACCAACAACGAACTCATAAAACTTATTAAATTCTTACCTTTAACAGATATCGCTTATGATGCGACATCGCATACCTAAAAGAGACGATCTCATTAAGACAATACGTGGGATCTTGCAATCCACAG